AATTGATATAGTTCAATAGAGTTCAACATAATAAATCACTATATATATATATATAATAATAATATATATAATAATCAATATATATATATATATAAATATATATATATATCGCCGTTCGTTGTAAATGCATAAAATCTGCACTCTAGATGATCACTAGTGATGAAAAATACGTTATAGATAAAGATACGATCGTATTTACTATTTATTATTTAATGATAATAAATATTTTGCCATCGACCATTTAATTATAAGAATTCAAATATGACGACAAGGTAAAACACACAAAAGTACCGCAGCCACCGTGTTAACCGCTAAAAATACAAAAATTTCATCGAATCGTAAACATTTTATAAAATGTGTCACCGTACAAAAATTATGAACGGATCGACAAAACAATCAATTCCAACATAGTAATGTATAGTGGCGCCATTCAAGTATAAGAGGTTAAGTTAACACAGCAGACAACCGCGCCCATTCTAATTCCTTTCGACATCGCAAGAAACAAGCGATATCCCGACAAAAAAATCATTAAACAATATCGCGAAACTTTTCGGAAACCCTCGCAGGTTTTTCTGCCATCAAAACGAGAGAGAAACGAAAAGAGTAAGAGCTTACCAGCACAGAAACAGCTCCGGTATTTCGTAAACAGTGTAATCTACTCCTGTCGAACTCGCGAAAAAGAACATGGGCGAGGGAGAGCAGCCGGGCAGATACAGGTAGAGTGTGAGAATACAGAAAAGTGTAACGAGAAAGAGATGAAGAAGGAGAGAGAGAGAGAGAGAGGACGAAGGACACGGCTGTTGCATCCTGGCGTAGGAGTGCATCAACAGGATCTCGCCGGACCAAGTAGCTTCGGCGTGCCGGTGGTGGGGTTATGGAACGGGTCCGATGGTGGGGGGATCGGCGATCAGTGGTCAGTAGTGGGGGAACGGCACGAAGCGGAGAGCCGAGTGGAGCTCCCTCTGGCGAAGACCTCGTGTCAGTCGAGCCGTGTGCCGCGTCGCGGTAGTGTTGTGTCGTGGGGCCGCGATTCGCGTGTCGCGTCAACCACCAGCGACGCTTTTGTTTCCTGTGATTATGAGCGATGTGAGTTCAGTGAAGCCGAATCGAAGATCGTCACCGTGGTCCTCGTCGTGCACGTCGTTCCGTTACATTCCATCGCAGTCCAGTGAGAAAAGATCGGGAAAACGCGCGACCGAGAACTACCGCTAAAGTTTCGTGGCCGTTTGTTGCGGACCGCGTGCTCCCAGCCGTGTGTCGGTCCGCAGGCTCTTTTCGGGGGGTTTTTCAAGGTTACGGTTCGGTTGCCGGCACGAACGATCCGGGCCGCTGCTTCTGCCTGTTTTTTCTGTCACTCGGCGTGCAACAAAACGCACGCCCTCGATATCAAAAGAGAAGCCTCTCGTCTCCGCGGTCCGGGTCCCGAGACACCATCATCGACTCTTCTTCTTCTTCTCGTCCTTCTTCTATCGCTTGGTCTTCTCTGACGTTCGGTAACCGTCGCGTGTGGCAGAAGAGATATACATACATATATCCCCCGGTGCGTTTGTGTCAAGTATGCAAAGGTGTTCGTCGTTATACCAGTGAAGAAAAAAGAAAAGAAATCGTAGTCGTTGGGGCCCCTGTCGGTGGTCGATGCAAATGGATAATAGTGTCGGAACGGAGCTGCTTGTGCGACAGGAATCCTCAAGGTCACGGGAGAGAACCAGCCAGAGAGACGTGTCAGGATCGTAATAGCGACACAGGGTAGCGGGGCGAATCTCTAACGACCAATTTCGGTATCGTGAAACTCGAGAAAATAGAAAACCTCTGAAACACGTTCGACTTGAAATCGTGCGTGCTGCAAGGATAAGGATAAAGAGAGAGAGAGAGAGAAAGAGAGAAAGCGAGAAAGAAATACAAGAGTGTGTGTGTGTGTGTGCTGCGCGAGGTTGTTTACTCGTGGGATAAAACGCGAACCGATTAAAACAGACTGAAACGAATCGCGCGAAGTCAGTGTCCCTTTGTCTGCTGGACCGCGGTGGCCGTTGACCCTGTGCGAGGCCGCTGAATGTTTCTGCTGCGCGTAAAAAGCAAGGACAACCGAAGTGACGGAGGACGACACGGTCCATACATAAAAAATTAATTTCTCGTCGCGCGGTCGCCGGCGTTACCGTTCTCCGCGGCGGCTGATAAAAGTTTCAGTTGTAATTTGCAGGTTGCCCCGGTGTGCCCACCCCCC